AAAAAATCTTTAAATACACTTGATGTACACTCAAAAAAAGAATTTTTAAATTTGGGTATAGCTCTAAATGCATGTTTAATAAAATGTACATTGCACTTGAATCTGTTTTTCAAACTTTTATGAATATTCTTTTTTTTTTTTATGTATAGAATGAACTAATGAATTCAAACTTATGATGTGACATCGTCAATTCGTGCTAATCAGTAAATTTCATTAAATTACTCTTTTCTTGAAGACTAAAAGTTAACTATTATTTCTACAAGGTTGCCAGGATTGCTATAAATTTGGGAGCTCCATAATGATTATGCTTCGTGTTTAAATAAGTAAGCGTGTCATTTCTTGCTTAGTTAAGTTAGGATTGAAAACTGAAACATCACTTTTTTGCTGTTCATTGTAAACACACATTTTGAGCTTTGTCCAGATATAAAAACTCACCGACCAACTGTTGATCTAAGGGTGCGCCCTAGAAAAAAAAATTATTCAGAAAATGTTGGTTTTTGTCTCATATTTTGCAAATAATTGTATAATAATAAAATAAGATCAGTGTCTATATCCAGGGTATTTTGAGAACAAAATTTTATTTTGCTGAGACGAAATTCAATGTGATAGTAAATGATGCATTTCTAGAAGCTCTTTTTATTAATCTGGCTTCTAGAAATGTCACTTATATAATAGCAAGTTTTTTATATTTAAAAATTTTTGTTAATGCCTGCTTTCACAAAAACTCCCAATCGAAAGTCTGATCTGTTATGGAAACAAGAGTAAAACCATTTTAATTGGGGGAGCTATGATTATTTTTTAAACCTAAATCAATGCGAACCGGTAATCTGCACACCCCTATTCGAAGTGACTTATTTTCATAACCTCTATCACAGCTTGCATGAGAGTCTGGTGTCTGGAAGAGTTCTTGTGTAAGCCAAACAGTAAATAATTTTCAATAGTCCATTCATATATGAATTACACTGAGTAAAGAATTAAAATAAATTTTTTTTTTTTGAGATTTATAATATTTTTCAAAAATGGTTCAAATTATAATGCTATGAGCAAAATAAGATGACAAAAACTTAATTCAATGTTCTGATTGTCACTATTGGTGCAAACTTTAATAGCTAAAATTATATATGCTTCTTTTTTTCTCCAAATAATAAATACCTTTTGAATGGATTCTTACTTTGGACCATCATGCTCAATCTGGAAAATTATGGTGCGAAAATTTCCCTTAATGTTAGAAAATGAAAACCATTTTAAAACTTTCTAGACTGTTAAAAATAAAGTTGATGCAGAATGAATGACAGAGGCAAAAACCAAGGTTGCTATCCGCAGGCTACAGTCAGATAACATCAAGTTACAAAATAAGTAATTTCTAAATATTATACAAGCGTGGAAAACAATGAGCTTTTGCTTTTATATATTTTAAAGGTTCCTCAGAAATCATAATGTATTTTCATATGAAACTCTTAAAAAGTGAGGAAGAATTAAACTAGTAATTGCATTCTTTTCAGATAGTGTTGTGCAATGACTTGGAGTTCCTGGTGTACTTTTAAACAAAATTAAAGAGAATGTTTTGTTTCCCCCATGTATGTTAGTTCACATTTATATACAGTCAAACCCCGCTATAGTGAACCATCAAGGGACCGAAATTTTGGTTCACTATAACCGGGAGTTCACTATATCCGTTCTGCGGGCAATTTAAATGACTGAAAAACACTTATGTAGTAGCAAAAAATTTGTTATTTTTTTATTACTCTTCGCCCTGCGTACAAAAAAAAAAAAAAAACCNCAGACTGCGTAAAAAAAAAAAAAAAAAAACCGAAAAATTAGTAATCTTTAGCTGATGAACAATCCTCTTTCCGACTCTCAGATAATTTTTCCTGAATTTCTGTTAGTCCACTTTTTAAACTTGCCTAACCTGCCATTCGAGCACATAAAAGTAATCTCATAAAATCGGTTAGCAAATTCATCGACATTTGTTCAGATACTGGAAGATTGCGGCTTCTTTGAATGCTGAACCACTTCAGTAATACTTCTTCAACATCCTCGTGATCTGCTTTTCTCAACTTTTTTATGCCATTTAAATTTTTTTCATGAGCAGAAATTGTTAATTGCCTATTTTTCCATATGTTACGAACTGCAGATATCGGCTTGATTACATCCATTGTAAATTTTTCTGATTATGCTCATTTCATCATCAATGGAGAACATTTTACGTTTACTGCTCGCCATAGTTAAATTTGAGACACTTGTTTTCAGGCTTTTTTTTAACTGCACTGAGAGCAAAAAGGAGTTGAAATGAGGGCCTTATCAACACATATTAGTGTCCAACTCTTTGACCAATAATGAATAATTACTCATTCCCTCTGACAGAAAATGCATATTGATCTCACCGACACCTTACAGATGCATCATCTGCCTGGGTTGGAAACATCTACTTGATTTGTTTAGGGATTTAAAAGTAAGATAAAAGAAGCATACAAGAAAAAAATACTTATCGCTACCTTACCCACAATAGATAGTTTTAAAAATCTGTATATGTAATTATTTTGAAGTAGAAATTTCAAAATTATTACAAAAAAATGAATAAAAAAATCAGTTGACAGAAAAAAGTTCATTATATCCGACTTCATCAATTTTTTGGTTCACTATATCCACAAAAATAACATTATATGGGTATAGCAAGGCATGGGACCGAACATTTCGTTCGCTATATCCTGGAGTTCACTATAGCGGGGTTTGACTGTATACTCAATTACAAGTAATGGGTTGATTTATAATTGAAAACACATTTCTGTTGGTAGTAGAAAAAATTAGTGTGGAATTTGCTTTAATTAAAATTTTTAAGATTTGTTGACTGTTCTTAAAGAAGAACACAACTTATTAAAATTAATCTATCCCTATTTTAGACAAAGATCATTTGAGTTATTTATATTTAGGTTTGTATATCTTAATAAAAAATAGATAACTAAGAGAAACACCCGTCTCTTCCCCTGTTTTTGCTTACCTCAAGTTTTCCTACTAATGGTACTCCTTGCTGGTTTAGGTTTAAAATAAATTTGCGATTTTAACTTGCGATTTCATTCAACATTGTTTTTTAATCATAACACAAGGGATTACTCTGTAGTTTCCCTGAATAGCAAGTTTTATTTTTCAGGGTGCGTAGCAAAATCTTTCAACAAAAAATAAGCACTTTTTAATTTTTAAGCACTATATAAATTGGCAAAATCAGGGATGAGAGTAGTCAGAAAGTAAAAAAGAGGAAATCCAAAAAACAAAAAAAAGAAAACAAAAAGAAAATATATATATATATATATATATAAACAAAATTTATATATTTTAAAGGTT